ACAAACAAAACTAAACAAAAACAAATTTTACCATCAATGAAACGCTAGCTGTCTAATATACAAGTTCAGATAGGATTGAAGGTATCCATCCTCGATAAAACCGATAGCCTCCTGCGCAGACGTTCTTAGGCATCGTCACGCAATCATTCCTCCCCCACGAATGTCTGCTTCAACCCGTAGCCACTTCCGTTCTCCTTTGTTTTGAGACAACCAACCAGCTTTCACATGTTGTCTCATTATTAGCCAATGACAACTTTTGTAAGAAAATAACTTGTCACCCGGGCCGACATTCCCGCGAAACGATTCCAGTACATAAAGTTATGGCATGTGTGGATGAAACCCCCAAAAAAATCGTTGGAAGCAAATTAATTTTTTAATTTTTTGTGGATTCACACTGACTAAAGAAAGAGATCGTATATTTGGCACAAGTTCTGTGGACATTCAAGGCCCAATCAAAGCTGCCATCGATATGGAAGTGACTGTTTTTTCGTCGAGTGAAATATTCATTTGCACGGCAAACTGTTACAAACGTTTAAGTCGCTTCGAAAAAATTTCTAATAAGCTCTGTAATTTACAAATTAAAAAGTAATGAAGAAAGACTACGAGAACGGGGGATCCGGAGTAAGAACTAAACGGTTACGAAAGGAAACGACATGGCTCTCAGGTCAAATGGACCCAAGCACATCTGTTATCGCGCTTCCAGAATTAGCTCCAAGCTTTATTTTTTTTTTTAAAGTTACAATTTTTAGTTTTTTTATGGACCCTCGACATTTTTCTCGGACCCTGGACATTTTACCCTCGACCCTCGACATTTTACCCTCGACCCTCGACCAAAACTCAAACTATACTGCAATATGTCAGAGGCATCCAACAGTTATTATCTCCCAAGCATGAGATCAAGAGAGGCAGAGGTTTAATTACATCATACTTGTGTCAAGAATTCTGACTCAGTACATTGATGTGTTTGGGCCATTAAAATATGTGTGCATACAGCACATCCCACACAAATACAGCGAGGAAATGTGTGAAAAGTCCACAAAGGTAACTACCTACCTTAAACCCATTAATATTATACATTATAGGTAAATCTTAAGTTATGTACAACTCATAATAAGGACGTCTGCGCAGGAGGCTAAATAACTTATGGGGTCGATTAATTTGCTCAGTTAGTAGAGATCTACAGAGCACTGGAATACTCTTGTATTGTGTCAGGTTGCATGCAAGTCTGAATTTATTGTCGGCTTTTTATTTTGAAAGCCGATTATATTAATAGTTGCTTGCATAATTTGTGACGTGAAAAAAAAAGTGTTAAAATATGAATAACTATATTACATATGAGTTGCTATAGAAAAGGCTGATCTTCTAATGACAGTTTATGATTTTTTACTTTTTTTCACTAATATGTATTAGCAGTAGGAACCCAATAATTTTAACTTTTTTCTGTTGCTCATTTTATTCGGGAATATCCTGGAAGCTGTCATGCCCATTTCACTTCTGTTCCAATGATATCAGAAAAAGGAGTTTCCTGTCAGATTTTGTCTGGGCCTATCCGCAAAAGTACCTGTAAATCTGTTAAACCCTATGAATTAACAATAAACGATATGTGTAGTACTTTATACTTGTCCTGTCTTTTTCCTTCAAGGTTCCACTCGGTATAATTTTTAAGAACGAAAGTGTCAATGAAGATATGCTCGCCATTTTGCGCCAGTTTTACACACACCTGCCCACCAGTGGTGAAAATGAGGTTGATCGCCAATTGTTTGCCGGTGATCAGTTGACAGTGGAACGAGCTGTGAATGTTGTTGCCTCGCTATCAAATGGTTACACCCCTGAAGACATACTGGAAGGAATGAATTTCCAAATCGGGGACTGGCATGCTGCTGTTAAAATCTTCAGTAAGTTCTGAATTTAGTTTTCATTTGCAAATATGTAGACTAAGCACAATTTTTTGTTTATAAAATTTGATGTTTGCTATACTTTAAACCTGCAGGTCAGGTGATCAAGAGCTGTCATAGCGTTTAAGCAATGCAAAATTACTTTGCCATATACGACAAAACTTTTTTGCCCTCATAACTGTGGTATCGAGAGTATCGTAACCTCGA